GGAACATTCCTGTGAAGTTTGGATGAAATTGGCTCAGTGGTTTATGAGGAGATGTCATTTAAAGCAAAAGTTTACGGACGGACGACGGACGGACGACGGACGGACGGACGGACGGACGCCGGACGAAAAGCGATCACAAAAGCTCACCCTGTCACTTTGTGACAGGTGAGCTAAAAAAACTCTTTCCATTTGTCTTTCCTTTCAAAATGGCGGGTGGCGCTGAAAGTTTTCTCATTTTTTTTTAAGTCAACAGCAATTAAAGAAAAAACCACGGCAAAGAAAGAATCTGATTTGCTGAATAAATAGCATAAAATCACAAAAATTCAAGATGAGTTATGTCAATAAAGACTGACACAACTGCAAGGTTCAAGAAAGAACAGAAAAATCGTGCCGTTGAAATCTACTCCTTTGAATCCTGTACACTGTTTTTTTCTTTGTACGGTCAGTCTTTAACTGACTACGGTCAGTCTTTAACTGACTGGCGTCAACTCATATGCAATATATATATTTTTGTAAGACAAAATTCGTCACCAGTAATCTTTTTTACACAAATCTTGACCAAAAATCATAATAGTCTGGAACTGTTGTTGATTTATTTTCCTTTCTCTGACCTACAGCAATGTTTAAAAGTATTCTATTAATAAACAGAATAAAATAATCCATAAAATGTTTAAAATCCTTTTTTGATAAATCACAGCATTAATTCTAAAAATATTGTGTAACTATAAGTTATCTGAGGTCAATCTATGTCATGCCTAATTTACCGACCAAAACAAAGAAAAAAATTCCTTAGGTGAAACATACAGAAAATGACGTATATTTCGTCTGACAGTTCTTTGAACCAATCAGTGCTCTGACCTTTATGATTACTGCATGAGTCCCTTTGATGTGACCAATGATTAAACTTCAAATAAATTTCAATGCAAACAGGGAGGATAGAAATCAGACAGATCAATTTAAATTGAGTATATGGACTTGGAGCAACTTGTTTTTAAACAAGAGCTGTCGGTAGGACAGCATGCTCGACTATTCTTAGTGCTTGATAGTAAAAAAAATGCCTGATACAGATGGTGAACAAGTGTGCAAAGTTTCAAAGCCATATGTCAATGGACTTTGAAAATATTTGAACTATTACAAAAACTTTAACGTAAATTCTAAGTCGAAAAAGGGGCATAATTCTGTCAAAATGCTTGATAGAGTTACCTCCTCCTGTCTACAGGTTGGGGTCATGATGGTGAACAAGTGTGCAAAGTTTCAAAGCCATATGTCAATGGACTTTGAAAATATTTGAACTATTACAAAAACTTTAACGTAAATTCTAAGTCGAAAAAGGGGCATAATTCTGTCAAAATGCTTAATAGAGTTACCTCCTGCTGTCTACAGGTTGTGGTCATGATGTTGAACAAGTGTGCAAAGTTTTCAAAGCCATATGTCTATGGACTTTGAAAATATTTGAACTATTACAAAAACTTTAACGTAAAAATTCTAAGTCAAAAAAAGGGGCATAATTCTGTCAAAATGCTTGATAGAGTTACCTCCTCCTGTCTACAGGTTGGGGTCATGATGGTGAACAAGTGTGCAAAGTTTCAAAGCCATATGTCAATGGACTTTGAAAATATTTGAACTATTACAAAAACTTTAACGTAAATTCTAAGTCGAAAAAGGGCATAATTCTGTCAAAAACTTGATAGAGTTACCTCCTCCTGTCTACAGGTTGGGGGTCATGATGGTGAACAAGTGTGCAAAGTTTCAAAGCCATATGTCAATGGACTTTGAAAATATTTTGAACTATTACAAAAAACTTTAACGTAAATTCTAAGTCGAAAAAGGGGCATAATTCTGTCAAAATGCTTGATAGAGTTACCTCCTCCTGTCTACAGGTTGGGGTCATGATGGTGAACAAGTGTGCAAAGTTTCAAAGCCATATGTCAATGGACTTTGAAAATATTTGAAACTATTACAAAACTTTAACGTAAATTCTAAGTCGAAAAAGGGGCATAATTCTGTCAAAATGCTTGATAGAGTTACCTCCTCCTGTCTACAGGTTGGGGAGTCATGATGGTGAACAAGTGTGCAAAGTTTCAAAGCCATATGTCAATGGACTTTGAAAATATTTGAACTATTACAAAAACTTTAACATAAGTGGTTACGCCGACGCCGACGCTCGGGTGACTGCAATAGCTCTACTTATTCTTATCGAATAGTCGAGCTAAAAATGAAATAAATTTGAAAGGTATGTAACTAGTTTGATAATGCAAACAAAGCAAACTTATTTTTGATATTTAACATTGTTTGAAATCAACAATAAACATTTAAATCCTATCACAATTTTCAACAATCAATGTACTGTTTCCTTTTTAAAGTTGTAATAGGCAATAAATATTTTTTTAAAGTGATAGCATCTGAAAGTTAATACTTTTTAAAATCACCTAGAATAGGGCCTAATTATTAACTGTAATTATTAAAAGCTTTAACAGATCATGACTATTCTGGTGGACCTTAGGCAACCTGTGAAGATGTTTTCCAAGTTCCTATTTAACTTCAAGCCCTGGCAGTCTTATAGTCCAGTACATACATTTCACAACTCCACGAAGAATTAAGATTAAAGAAAAATTGCTATTTTTAAAGTTCATTGAGTTTTAATCTTAATCTATCACATTGAAAATTTTCAAAATGTTTTTGAAAATAACAGCAATTTTTCAAAACTGCATTAGCCAATTTGAAACAAGGCAATATCCTGCATGTGATCTAAACAAAAACTGAAATCAGATCACTGCGTACCCCTTGTTAATCTTCACCTTCATCAGTGTAAGAAATTCGGATTTGAATCCACTAGGCCGGTCGGACTACCAGATTGGAATATTCACTAGCCCAAAAGACATTTCAGTAGCATGATTCATTTGTTCAAAGCAGTTGTTTATATTGCCTCTGAAAAAACAGTAGTCAGGTCGGGCTTGTTACTGTAAAAAGTTGGTAGCCCGAGGAGAAATTTAGTAGTCAGGGGCTATCGGACTACTGCTAATTTCGAACACTGCTTCATTTTACTTTTTTGATGTGAGGAATCCCTGATTTTCTAAATTAAATCTCAGGGATTTCTATGGGATCCCTGGCAAAGACAGTTGTGTCGACCCCTTGACTATTGTGAATTAGCAAAAAAAACATATACAGTAGGGAATTTAAGAGTATTTTATTATCTGAGGGATAAGTTGATAGGATCTGCAAAAAATCTTATTTTTACCCATAATTTCTGCTTTGATTATTTACAATCTTCACATTTAAGATCGGGCAACCTGCTTTTCCTGGGGGCAAGTAGATTTTCAAAGTTACTTGCCCTTTGGGCAAGTGAAAGTCAAAACCTTAAGTAAACCCCTGTTCATATGTGATGAAGAGATCCATAGGTGACATTAAAACATTTACAAAGCTTATGAAATGTGAACCTTACTTTATCATGTCATGTGAAGCATGAACTTTCAAATAAGCCACCTGTAACTTTAAACTACTATTATTCACTGTGTTAAAAACCAAACAAAATGTTCTAAACAATAAGCCATACTTTCAGAAATTTAAATATGTAAATATTTGTTATAAAATCTCTACTTTACTGACCTACTACTAGCACAGGAGCCCGTCTTCTTAGCACGTGTATGCCGCCGTAAGCTATTCAGCTCCGGCGGTGAGGATTTTGAAGTTGAACTCCCCGTAGCACCTTTTGGACTCTCCGATTTCTGAGACTTTTTGTCCTTCTTTTTCGCCTTCTTATCCAACTTGGACTTTTTATTTGGTGGCTGTGATGTGTTTGTGTCCCGGGAATAACTAGTTCCTGCGATTAGAAAACTAGCTGGCAACGCTTGCTCGTGAATACCGTGATTTGTAACACTGACTTCGATTTTTCTCTCTAATTTAATATCAACGTCAGTTTTAGATTCCACTTTGCTGCACTTAGCAACAGGTTCAACAAGCGATGTTGCAGATTTAGCGGTGTTTGATCTTTTACGATATACGCGATATGTTCCGGGCCCTTCCCCGCACGGGGCCCGTTGGGTTGCTTTTCTTGGTTTTGAGGGCTCTCCTTTTTTTGACCTTAATTAAAAAACTCTTTCCGCGTTCCTCAAGTTTTCCTGTTAAAGGATCCTTAAAAAGTGAGGCCCGGATAAAATTTTTTCCCGCTGACAAAAACAAAGAGCTGAACACTCTTTCCTTAGAGAAAATTTTCTACCTAACAGAACCAAGTTTTTTTGTTGACTTAAAATTTCACTTCCGACTTTTTCCCCCTTTTTTAGTTTTTTTACCCTTGCGGCACTTTTCACAATTCGCAGTCAGCAAGCCTTCACTTGACACAGATGCTAAACTAGAACCGCTATTGCTTCTGGTTTTCGAAGAGCTTACAGAAGCTTTAGATGATGAATGAGAAGGTGCTACAGAAGCAGACTCTATGTCAATACTTGATAATGTGCTTGAAACAGACAATGCACCACTCCTTTTCCTGGATCTTGACGATTTTGATGAAGAGGGTTTAACAGATACAGAGCTAGCAGATGTCTTTGAACAAGATAAATTAATTCCACTTTTCTCGTTATTTGATACGCTAGATGCAGACCTTACTCTGCCCCTACTTCCACTTCCTCGTGGCGGAGAATTTGTCCTTGAACTTAAACTTTCCTCACTTTGTGACCTTTTTCTGTTACTAGTAGAGTCTGTATGTAATAATGTTTTAGATTTAGAACTACCCGAGCTTGATCGCCTTCGTCTTTGTGTAGAAAACTCTGTAGAGCTTTCTGATGAATTTGCGTTCAAGTTCTGATTAAAATTTATTCCAGCTTTCTGTAAAAGAAGAAAAATATAATAAGACTTTTAGCTTCATCTTGCTATTTCACTAAACTTCTATAATAAGCCAAATTGAACACAATGTTAGACCATGAATCAACTTCCTGTATAATCATTTTGTTCTTCAGTGGTTCTTACACTGACATAGTGAAAAATATCATATGGTGAAATGGCAGTTACTGTCATTCACAAAAGGCAATATCATTACAATCTCTTTACATACAAGCAAGTGATGCAACAATGGACATCAACAGATACCTTATAATATATATTAAAAATATAATTGTATACAAATATGAAAGAAAGAGATTTTATGTGGAAGCATTTATAACCTGTATTCATAGTTTCCAATATTTCATGCTTGACAGGTTTCATATGCCATTGGAGAATTAAAATATTCAAAGACCAAAAATGTCAATGTTTGTATCTCAGGGTTCCCGCTGTCGCTCGCCAATGGCGCCAAATGCGACAAAATATTAATTCTGGCGCATAAAATCTTTAACTGGCGAATTTAACTTGCACCAACGTAAGATAAAAGCATCCGACAACTAGAACACTTAAATATCATAAGCGGCCGCGTCAATTACATAAGCCGCCCAAATGTGAAAGGTCACACGCTATTAGTTTGTTTATCAAACTGTATAATCAATTATGTCATCAATTTGTGTGACACTTCGGGAACATGTAAAGATCAAAGTGTAAATGTGTTAATTGGAACAATTTACGTCTTTCATTCTCTGACTTGGAGCACTGATAATTACATGTGCGGTCAACTGATCGTCTGGTGTTAGTAGAGTACAGAGAAGTGTCAAGTGAAAGATCTTCCATGATGTTGACAAACATTGAACTTTAGGTAAGTTGACTCGTCAACTGATTAAAAATAATTACAGTTTGAAATATTTAATCGGATGACTATTAAAAGAATAATTTCACTAATGATTGATCTAAAGCCACTGTTTACTGCAATTTTAATATTTTCATATCTGAATGTAAAGTGCTGAAGTGTCTATTCAGTATTCACATGCAAACCCTATTAAAATAAACAATATTCTTCATTGTTAAAAATACTAAGTATCTATTTCATTTTTTGATTTTTAGATGAAGTCAATTTATAGTAATGTTGTTTTTTTTTATTTTGTATCTGTAGATCACCAGATTGTCGGGTAGAAGCTGGGAAAGATCTTGGCTCAGTCCAGCCTGTGAGAAGAACTGCTATAGGCAAAACACTGGAAAACAGGACCTCCCATGACTAACTTAACATGATGTTTTTGATTACATTTATGTTGTCATGTGTATTTATTTAAATGGAATTTGAAAACCACATAATACTATGTCTATATTTTAGATAATAAACATGTGCAGCTGTAATAAAATGAAATATTATAAATATGTGTTTGTAATCATATATAACTGCTAGCATATCTTAACAAAGATAGGCATGTCTCCCTTGCAGAATTATTGGCTCCAACTTTGGAGCAATTGGCTCCAACTTTTTATGATTGGCGAATTTGGTGGCGCAAACTAATTTTGACCCAGAGGGAACCCTGTATCTCTGGGAATATTAATTTGTTAATTATCATCTATTTGTGACTCTTTTAAATGTCATTGGACTTTTGGACAAGAAACAACCTGTGTTAATCTTGGCAATTTGTTTTAAGAGAATTGTCCCTCAGTGAAACAACACATTTCCATTTTAACATTTCTTGACTATCACATCAATTTTATAGCATTAAATAAACCTTTAATAAATAAGCACACTTTCAGGTACAAACATGAATTTGTTTATTTGTGTAATTGGGTTTTATGTCACTTCGACACAGTATAGGTCATATGTCAACATTCCAGCTCTACTGGTGAAGGAAGACCTGCTGTGCACTTCTGTACATTATTTTAGGCAAGAACGGGCACCTGCACCACAAACGTTCTGTAAGCTAGCTGGATAGCTTCATCATATGAAAGAATCCAAAGACTCAATTGGGAATCTTACCCACAGCGGTGAGGGGCAAGTGGTTTGAAGTCAAAGACCTTAACCACTCGGCCACAGAAGCCCCTACAGAGATGAGATAAAATGGCAAACAACTACTGTTATACAAACCTTTTCTTTGGAGCCTTCCCTAGCAGCTTTCTCTGGCTTTATAACCACTTCAGTATCGTCAGGTTGTTTGTCCCGGCTCCTGGTCCTCCTCGCTATAGCAGGACTTCTAACCTCTCTAGAAAACAAATATCTTATATCACAGTTCAATGATATTCAAGACGTCAACCCAGGAACAGGGCTCTGTTAGTGGAAGTTTTGGGAGTCAGTTACTCCTTGTTTCTGGCTTGTGACTTTCAAAATATTATGCTTTATTTTCTTTTCCTATATAATGTGACTTCCAATGTGAGAGACTTTGCAGTCTCGGACATCCAAATTTTTTAACTTAATGAAAGCCCTGCTAGAAATCTTAGGTCTACGCGTATACCCAAACTTGGACTCAAGAGCCATGATTCAAATCACCTTCAAGCTTTCACCATGATCAAGCTTATATAAATTTGTTGTAAATAAGACAAACGTGGTTCCCAAACCGTTATACCAGACTGAAACTTATACAGGCAATTTAATACTGTAAAATCAGGATAATTAGAACTTTACTAAGTCAATTTTAATAAAATAATTTGATAAAGCTTTCATAAGAGAAGTTATAATTGTTGAATATTAATTGGTCAATCTTAAAGTAAGCTCAATTTCTTGTCAATATATCTGTTTACACACTTAATTAAATAAATTTTCAGTTACGCTATGGACTCATCAGGATTCTCTTTCACAAGGAAATATCTTTTTTTATAGTCAAATAGTGGACTTTTAATGAGTCAAAACATATTCTACTTATGTCTTTCATAGGAAGTCCTAAATGTCTGAATGAAATCAGTTTGAAGACCAAAACTGACAATTTGTATTAATCAAAGAACTGTCTGAAGTTCTGACTCATTTCATATGTTACAAGTTACAACTTCTTCATCATTTAATAACAATGCACGATGATACATTGTGAAATCAGTGTATTTAATTTATTGTATTTCCTCAAGAAAATTAATTAGCCTTTGTCACTGTCTAAGGACTCAGATTCACAGCCTCTGTGACTCAAGCAGTGAAAATTTTTAGTCATTTATCTTTAAAGTGTAATTTACTTTATTTAGTAGGTTTAAATCCAATTCTAAATGTTTTATGCAATTTGGAAGCCCTTTTAATGTTTATATTCAATCAATATTTCTAGATATCTTACCTATTTGTGTGTCTGGCCCCTGTTTTACGTGTGTGTTGTTTACTCCCCCCACCTGACTGACAATCAACTGAATCGGCCATAGGCACCACACCTCATCTGGCTCATGCCAGGATTAGCCAGGATTGTAGCTGAAATATAAGACAATTTTTAGCTATTGCTATGTATATCTTGATATTCTTAATAGGGCTTAACTCTTTGGTCAATCAAAGATTATTTTAACATGCCTTTACATATTTGCACATACTCAAAACTGAGCCACTAAGCTTACTTACAGCATCAATGTAACAAAAGCATCACATGTGTTAAAAGAGTTTGTCTGTTAAGGACAAGAACTTTCATATTTGTTATTATTGAGTACTCTACAGGGTCATAACTCCATTAAAAATGCTTTCAGTATAATGCCTTTTGGCTTACAATTTTGCTACATCATGTTCATCAAGTATTCCCATTTTCATGTTAACAGTTGATGCTGTTAAAAAAAAAGCAATATATGAGAAGTTAAAAAGGGACATAACTCTTAAAAAAGATATTGCTTTCTTGCATTACAAATTCTCCTTGTCATGGTAACCCTCTTAGTTTTGAAAAAATTTAACTCAAGGGATTTTGACAAAAATTCTTAGAATTTTAAAGGGACTAACTCTTAAAAATATAGCGTTCACAACAATGTCACTTGTCTAACAACTATGCCATGTCATGACACAGATTAGTTTCCAAATTTTATGTTTTGAAATCATAGGGAATTGTGCAGTTTTTTTTTTTTACTTGCATACAAATTAAACAGCTTATATTGTGTATTCTAAGACAAAACACATTTGTGTATTTCTAGTTGTATACACGTTAAGTTTACATATCCTCAGTAGAATTATGAATATCGTATTCTGATTTATTAAAATTTAAATCTTTTTTATTATCATTATTCAATCATGACTTAAGTGTTTGGTTACAGATGTAAATTAGGGCAGTGATTTTTCTACTTATATAACAGACTCCGAAAATAGGCCTCTTCCAAATTGAAATTTTTCTTTAAAATCATGCAGTTTCCCCAAAAATCTGAACTTAACCCAGCTTTTTTACTTCCCAAATCAGCAATTTTAGCAATAATTTTTCCTAAAATCAAGATGCTAAGGCCTCTTCCAGATTTAGTGAGAACTAGAAATGTGTCCATAGAACACGGGTGCCCCCACACTCCACCAATTTGTCAATTTATGTCTCTAGGTAAAATATTTTTTGGCTACATGTGCCCAAGTTGAAAACTAAAATTCTTCTATTAAGTAAAGGGAAAATACTACAAATACTGCATCAAATCAATAAGAAAACCCCAAGGTGCATAAGTACACATGCTGACCAACATTCTTGTAAACTTTCAGGCTTACAGGTCAAATACTTCTTGAGTTACATGCACCACAAGTTGAATACTGTAAATTTTTACTAAGACAAGGGCAATAACTCTAAAAATACTAAAAATATCCACATGAAAATACCCAGGTGCACAACTACACATGCTGAGCAACATTTTTGTAAGGTTTCATGACTCTAGGTCAAATACTTTTTTAGTATAATATGCGACAAAGTTGAAAATTGGAAACTTTTACTAATTCAAGGGCAATAACTCTACAAATACTAAATATATCCACACAAAAATACCCAGGTGCACAACTTCACATGCTGATCAACATTCCTGTAAGGTTACATGACTCTATGTCAAATATTTTTTGAGTTACGTGTGACACAAGTTGTAAATTGGAAATTTTTACTAAGTCAAGGACAATAATTCTAAAACTTCTAAAAATATCCACAAAATAATTTACATGTCCATCAACAAGTTAAATTTTTTCTAACTAAGTTTCCCAGAATTTTATTTTTGTTGAGAATGTAAAGTGCCAGATAATCATAAGTCAAACAGGCTTATTAAGACAGTGAAAATGAAGAGCCAGTCAACAGCACATAGACAGTCTAGAATATTCGAAATCGGCGATGTAAACACTAAATGGACATGATTTCTAATATTCTGAGAATCTTGAACAATGAAAATTACCAAAACAGTTGCATAATATTTTGAAAAAACATTGTTTTCTGTTTTAATCTGCGGAATATAAAAGATGTTACTATACACTATACATACAGAAAGACGTTGTTAATTAATAATAACGATACACGCTTGAATTAGCCACTTGAAAAAAAACTTTCATCTAAGCGATGAAATTACAATTACCACAGTCATACTTCATCGAAAATGTGACAAATCGGCATGGGTACATAATAACTTACGTTTACCAATTCATTAAAAATTAAATCATTATGTATTCACATCATATGCCGTGTATATTGATAAGCGGACGGCTTTCAGTTTTTGCAATCCACAAATTGACCAGTCAGTGATTGGCTTAAACAGCTTTAATGTGGATAATTTGTCACGCCTACTGTACCTGTAGGCGGTGCTAATTGCTATGTTAATTAGAAATTCATGTGACAGCATTTATTGACTGACAAACAGTAAAGATTCCATGCATCCACCGGAAATTATGACACCCGAGCTGGTTTTATGACGGGTCAAACTAGTGCATATCAGAATTTTCACAGGTCAATGTCAAGACCTGAAGTCTCAGGTCAAACGAACACCTAGCTTCTTCTAGAAACACTTGTTTTTTTTTAAATTTTATTATTATTATTTTGCTATTTACATTTAAAGAGCCATACAAATAGCCTCTAGTGTGTTTCAGCTATCCATACATGACCAGACTTCCCGAAAGTTGAAAAAAACTGTCAGACATTCGGTCTGACAAACCATGAAAATCTGTCGGACCGAAACAAAATCTGTCGGACCAAATAAAATTGATCAAAATCAATGAAAAACTTGTGTTTGTATTTCAAAGACACTTTTTGTTTTTTATTTTTTCACCGTAAAAATCAGCACAATCCGTACAGCGCATTTTCATCTCCTCCCTGTCATACACCAATGATTCATGGTTCTGCTTCCATTTTTCATTAAATTTTATTGCTGTTCTGCGCACTCTTCTGACGTAGATTTTCGTTTTTTTCCCAGGTTTGGCACCTTTAGCTACGCAGGGTTGTCATTAACATTATTTGCAGAAGGTTTGTTTTGAACTTGAGGCGGTCATTTCTGTCTTTATCATGCATAACAAAGAGTGTTTTCTTAGTTTTGAGGCGGCCCATATTGCATTTGAGACAGGCATTTTGGCCTCCTGCCGCCTCTTAATGACAACCCTGGCTACGCCATTTTGTTTACATGCGGCTTGGATAAAAGCCAGACAGTCCGACCGATCCGGAATAAAAAATTGTCGGACCTGATCAAAATTTTTCGGACATGTCCGTCGGACCGACGTATTTCGGGAAGTCTGCACGACTCATGTAGGCCTGAATCTTTTGGCTAGAAGTACTGGTCTGTATAAGTAGCCACTTTCTGACAGTTTATACTGATGCCTTATATTTCCGTCATACCCATAATAGGGCCCGTAAGTCTCGTTTACTTTCACTTTCGATTTACCACTTCCGGGTACATCGGCAGACTTATTTACCGTTACGCATATAGGTAACCCGAAGAACTCGAGAGATATAGAAGTTAAATTTGTTTCGGTCCGCTTCAGATTTGAAGGAATGGAAAACACTGGTCAAAAAATGCAGGTAGGTCAATTATCTGACAGAAAAACGAGGGATTTATAAAGTTAAATAAAACTAGTTTATTTTCGGATAGTAACAATTTTTTCGGATGTTTTGTCAAGGTAGTGAATTCTAGTTGTTTAGCTTTTAGTATTGTTTAAAAACTACTGATGTGAGAAATTTATTCAAACCATTTTAACTTATTGAAATAAACAATTGAGAAACACTTTAATTCTAGTGTTTATAAAAGTTATACAAAATTCGGACATTGAACAGTAATTCGGATATTTCATCCCTTCCATTTTATCAAGATTTCAATTACTTACATTAGTATAATAAACCCAGGTCCCAAGTAAGAGTTTTGATTATTAAATAATTAGATGGATAGATCATAGATGTATGCAAAGTTTAATAGTATTGTTCCATTTCTAACTATGGAGAATAGTATCATTTTAGGCACTAACAGTAAACACTTATTTTCTTATTCTCTTCCTTTTTCAATTATATATACATGTTAATATGGTACCTAGCAAATTATGATTGAATTAAAAAAATACAAGAGGGCCATGATGGCCCAAAGTCGCTCAACTGTATATAGGCCCCCAGAGCGGGGCCAGTTTAAACCCCAGGGCTTTTATTTGAACAAACTTGGTTGTATATGTAAGTATATATATATATATATATATATATATATATATATATATATATATATATATATATATATATATATATATATATATATATATGTGTGTGTGGATGTATGTATATTGTATGTATATATATATATATATATATATATATATATATATATATATATATATATATAATGTATATAATGTATATATAAATATTAAATATATATGTATATATATAATATGTATATATCTAAAAAAAAAAAGTCGAGCTAATGAATGACCCCCGGAGCGGGACCAATTTTGACCCCAGGGCTTTTATTTGAACAAACTTGGTAGACACCCATTAGAACATGTTTCATGCTAAATATCTTAGCTGTAGCTCTTTGAGTTCTTTAAAAGAAGATTTTTAAGTTTTTACTATATGCATATAGGGAAAATCAATGATCCCCTGGGGCGGGGCCAATTCTGACCCCAGGACTTTGATTGAACAAACTTTGTAGACACTCACTAGAAGATGTTTTATGCTTAATATCTAACCTCCAGCTATTTGGATTTTTTCAAAAAAGACTTTTTAAGTTTTTGCTATCAGGGCCTTTTTACCTTCTAAAACAGGGGCCGGTATAGGGCTGCTTCCCCAAAGAAAATTTCTTTAAAATCATGCAGTTTTCCCCAAAAATTGAATTTACATCAAGTTTTTTCTTCCCCTTTTGCAAATATACCTTGTAATTTTTCCCCAAAATTAAGGGCTGGGCTGCTTCCCCAAACTGTGAAAAAAAGCCCTGGCTATACACATATAAGGAAAATCAATGACCCCCTGGGGCGGGGCCAATTTTGACCCCAGGGCTTTTATTTGAACAAACTTGGTAGACACCCAT